GCTGGATGTGTCTGTGGGGTGTGTCCACTGGGTGTGTGTGTTGGGTGTCGCATCTACGTATACTGGCAGTTTGTATAGTTATCCCTGTGGTGAGGTACTGTAATTGCTGGTAGGGGCAACCTGCTGTTCTTACTGCTCCAAGTGACCTCCAGGATGTGAATTAGACATGATAAGATGCACAGATGAATTGCTGCATCTTATCTGAAATATACAAGAGAAACACGTCAAGATGATTAGAAAAGTTTTCCAGCTAAAAAGGGAAGGACGGCCTCTTGGCTTCTGCTCCTGATTCACATACTTTAGGTGGTTCGATTTGATCATTTTGGCAAGTTCACTGAATATGGCAGTGTGAATCTGGAGGCAGCACGTGTTGTCAAGACGGAATCATTTCTGAAAGCAGTCACTGTTGAAAGTTGTTACCACTACATGTAGTTGTCACATGTGAGGTAGCCTGGGTCTCTAGTCACTAGTCACTAGTAGTCACTACTTGGTGCAGGTACATGTATGCCAGACATCTTGGTATACACAGAAAACTAAAAGAAATTGTGGTGGTTCATACACCATTAATATGGCCAGATGGCTTTGTACAAGACACAGGTCACATCATATTCATAAACCTGGTACACAGAGGGGTGTGCTCTCAAAGATAAATTGTTCAGTCTAAAAAGTTTAGCAGGTTTGGGATAGGAAGTTTTGGGTCAGGTCTTTCAATTATAATTTTAGTTTTTTGTCTTTATAGTGGATAAATCTTTCATTGCTTCCTAGCACCCTCATACAAGCAGAGCAGCTACATGTAAATAACGCTATGTCCAATTCATTGTGCTTTTGGTGAAAATTACATTCATGTCTTTGGAAGCCACAAGCTTTTCTAACCATCTGCACTTTCAGCTGCATACATCTTGTTTGGGTATTGGGATGGACTAGTCTAGCTTTTTCAGGTCAGAACGGTGCAAGTTGGTGCACTCAAAGAAGCATCATGCTTTTCTTTTCCTGTATCCTTTAATATTGACCGATTTCTTCATAAAGTGAAAGTTTTCTCTCGTTGTTTGCCAAGTATGTGTAAAAATGAGAGAAACTCGAACTCAAGGTATTCGTGCATGGATTTCCATTTTGTTTGCAATTCTTGTTTGGCAATAAAAACCAGAGCAGGTAAGGAAAACAGCTGACAACAAACCAGAATAGAAATAAGATACGTACATATTAGTCCTTCCAGAAACAACACCAAGTTTTCAGACCGCAGTTCTGGTTACTTTAACCAGGTTGGACCATCTCATCAGTTTCACAAACAGTGTCCATTTTTGTGCACTTTGATTCAAATTCTACATACAGAGAAACAGTCATGTCCTGTTGACGACCATCATTCCACAGACACGGTATCTTGCAAGTGCGTAGGTTTTACCCAACACTTGCTGTGCTACATTGAATGCTGATTGGCTGCCTGTCAACGGACTTTGGAGTTTGAAGCTGATTTTGGATATAAATATGCCGTTTGATAAGATTTGCACACCTATGAGGCAAACATCACAAACATGACGCACCTTTGACCTGTATGCTTCAATAGGTGAATTAATGTTCCATTTATTGACCTGCTTTTCAGAATGAAATGTCTCAGCTGTTAATGGTGAAAGAATTCTTAGCATAGGCACAAAGCTTTACTTGATGTTCAGTTTGATCCTGATGGTCTCAGTTTGAGCCTACACTCCACTTTCTTGTAGATTCTACATTTATTTCATTGTTTAGCTGGTTTACTGGCAATTTGACTAACTTAAAGTCATATATATGTCCACATCCAGCAAAGATGTGTTGCTTTGCCAATGAAATCTTTTTGTTTGTTGTTGAAAGAATATGTTTTGAATGTAGTAATCTTCAGTTTGGATTCATTTGCTGACTGAAGCTCTATTTGCTGAATTAATTATTGGGGAGGGGGGAGTGCTGCTGCACCCCATCCCATCACC